ATGTAAAAAAAAAAAAAAAAAATATTTGGGTCATGTTAACCTAGTGTATATGACTTGCGCTGAGAATTTCAGTTTACCTCGTCTACATCTGCTGAGCCCCATAAATATCCCTGCATTCATTCCCATTCGGTTTTGCAGAGCTCCTGCATGCCTGAAGGCAGAGCTGCCCAAACAGGGACCTGAAATGGGGTTCTGATTAGAGGTGGGGTCCTGGGAGCTTGGCACTTGGGTGCAGGAGCACCGAGGAGGGGGAGCTGAGCCGCTGTCCACTGCAGCTGCCCCTCTCCGGCTGGGATGCAACAGGATGCAGCTGGTTCTCTTTGGGAACCTGCACGGGTGGACTTCCCATCATGTTGCTCCTAACGGAGCCTGCCCAAAATATCAGCCTCAGTTACTAGGAGGTCACTTGAGGTTTTGGCAGCCAGAAATGGGGGTGAGTTCCTTATGTACAACGTCTGTCTGCATCCTGCCAGTGGTCCTTGTGCAGGGGGGTGGAGGCGGTTGCATGTTTCCCTCTGCAGAGCTGTTCCTTGCCCCACTTTGAGGTTTCCATGAAGACTAAGAAAAGCCTTCAGAGGAGGCAGAGGAGCCACGGTAACGTGAAGAAATGATCCCCATGTTACCTGTGCGTTACTAGTCCCCATCCCCTTGCACAGCAATGCCAGTGCAGCAACCTCAGATGCTCCGTGCTGGTCCAGGGTTAGGTCCTAGAGGTGGCTGCTCTGGCGAGGCGGCTGCCTCCCCGGCAGGATGGCGCTAACACCCTGTGAAAGGCAAGCGAGTGCCACGCCTGGGAAGAGCGAGCTAATTTTTCCAAATGGCACAACTTTGCGAATGACAACTGTGACTTCTGCCTGGGCTCACGGTGTGAAATCTGGGGGATGGCTGTGAGCAGCAACTGCCAGAGGGAGCAGAGCTGAGCTCTCGAGTTCCCGGCTAGTGTTGTAGCTGCAGGGCCCTCCTCTCCCTGTTCCTCGTGGGTGTTGCAGGGCTCGAGGTGACACAGTTATGAGAAAGGAGGGAGTTACGCCTGGGTTTTGCTTGTTTCTGGGGTTTAAATTTCCACCTGTGGTCTGCCCGTCCCCAAACTTCAGGTATTTCAATGTAACCAGCTTGTGCATTGGCTTTACCTTCTGTGGTTTGCTGGAGGACCCAAGACCAGGGGTTTCCACAGCCAGCCCGGTGGTGGGTTGGAGCTGTAGGACAGGCTGGTAGTTTCTCCTGATGAGTGTCTCTGCGTTAAAAACACCCAGTTGAAAGACTCTGGGTGCCTTTACAGAACTGGAAGGGTTTGCAAAGCTCCTTTGGTTGAGTAGGTTTAGAGATCAAAGAATTCTCCACCTTGGTTAGGTACTTCTGTTGAGGCCTTAACAGTCTTGTCTTGATAGCAAAGCCTCCTGCATTGGAGGTTCTGAGGTCCTTCTTTTTGGGTCCATGTTCCTCCCAGCCTGCAGGGTTTATCAGGTCCAAAGTGTTGCCCAGCTGATGAGTTTGGAAGTGCCACTGGTGGCACTGGTGCTCACAACCCCACAGGAGACATTTCTAGTGTTGGTTTCAATTTAAATGTCCTGTGGGGCTAATGCAACATCAGAGCTGAGACTCGGGGGGGCAGATCTGCAGTGGCAGGGAAAAGGTCCTTCCTTCGGTGTTTTGTCCCCGTTTGGTGGGTAAGTGGGATTGGGAAGTAGACGTGCTCATGGTGCCCTATGTGCTTGTGAACATTTGCAGCAACTTTCTGTGCTCTTTCTGGGGCAGGTATGAACGCTCAGCTCCTTTTGCAGCCTGGCTCACAGGGGCATCCTCCAGGAAGCATCCGTGGTAAAAGTAGGGGAGGCTGTTCTGGGGCAGGGAGGAGGCGTCGGCGTTCTGGGGACAAAGCTGGGGCTCCGATGGTGTGTAATGAGTCTGTAGTTACAAAGATGATAATTATTTCTTTTCCATGGTTTTCAAGCCCTGGCACTGTCAGTTTGCTGGCAGCAAATCAAACACCAAGTTAGCTTATGTTAAGGAACAGAGGATGAAGTCCTAGATAAGCACTCAGCTGTAGGAACGTCTTAAATTGAAACGTGCAGGGGGAGTGCGGAGGAGAGTATGGTTTTGCTCCCAGGGCTATCCAGACCCTGTGTCTGCAGCCAGGGCTATGTTTCTCTCTGCTGGAGTGCCGGTACCGCCTGCCCCACATGCTGCTTGGGACGTGAGATGGGCACCAAGGAGGGTACGGTGACAGCTGTCCTTCTCCAGGGTGACCTGTAGCCTCTCAGTGACTGTAGCCTCAGGGTTTTAAGCGGACCAGGCATGAATGCTTTGATGGACGATGGAGTAACCAGACTGTAATCTACCCTTTAACCACCAGTCTTCTCTGGGACAACGATACCCATCTCTGCTGAGCTGATGAAGCCATCTCCCACCCATCGGGTGCCAGGGTCGGCGCTGGGTGCAGACCTGGCCGTGGAGCAGGATGCCGCGTGGTAGCTGCTGGCCGACCTCCTATTAGTGTAAACATTCCCAAATAATGCTGCGGTTCCTGCCAGCTCCTCTCTCTCCCCCTCTCGCCGTGTTTAATTTCTGACTAAGCTTTAGATAAATGTTTTGTATAGAGTTTCTAGTTTATCTTAAATAGACCTGCTGCTACCACAGCTAAAATCTAAACCAACGCTTGCCTCGGGGCTCGAGTGCCAGGTGAACTTTGGCAGTTCCTGGCGTGCTGAATAGTCCTGTTCCACCTGCAGACCCCAGCTACGAGTTATGAGGACCGGCTCTTGCATTGGATGGGGGAGCACAGCTTTTAGGATGCCTGAGAGCAACCTGGGAAGTATCTGGGCAAATCTCTCTCGGGGGGCCAGATTCAGACCACGGTTGATGTATTTGCTGACTTAGACCTGTCCGAAACAGGTCATTTGGTTAAACGAGTTCATCTAGCCTTACACCAGTTAGCCCCAAGTGGGGTCTGGCCCACGATCCTGGTAAAGTAAGCATTCGAAGGCAGTGTTTATGGTTAGTAATTTGTCTTAGAGGGTTTTATATATATATGCGTATGTGCCTGTGGGTGTACGTATGCATATATACATACATTATTGCTCAGGAACGTAGTTTCCAATCCTTTTAACTTGTTAAAAAAGTAAACTAGAGAGAAACTGGCAGGGAGTCTGAGCCGCCTGCCAAGTGTCGCAGACCAGAGAAGTGGTAAAACATAAACACTTTGGAGGTTATCCTCGGGATTTATATACTTTGGCTGCTGGGGGATGGACTCATGTGAAGCAGGGAGGGCTCATCAGCCCCTGGCCACGCTGCTCACGAAGCCCAGAGCCTGGCACCGCTGTGGCCACGCTTCCACCCCGGCAGTGTGCGAGCAAGAGGGCAGCGCGGGGTTGTCTGTCCCTCCTCTCCCGCTCCACTGGCCGTGCCGGGTGGGTTTCGGGCAATGGCAGCTGAACAGGTCTGCTTCCCCCTCCTCTGCACTAAAGTGAAAGCAGACCTCGTTGACGCTTAATCAGATTTGAATGTGGTTTTTGGCGTGGCTTTAAAGAGACTGGCAGTGAATAGCTGGTTTTGATGCCATTTATTAAAAACCTCTGGTAGAATTTGTCTCGGAAAGCCTTTGTGAGAGCTGGCAAACGCACAAGGGTTTGATGCAGTTAATGTATTTTAATCTTCACCCCCCACCACCCCTTCTCCTTTTCTGTCACTAATTGTAGGGCTCTCAGCTGTCTGCTGCCTTCCCCGGGGGACAGCAGGCAGGCTCTGCAGGGACCTCTGCACAAACACGGGCTTAATATGGTTGCGGTGGCACGGAGAAAAGTGAGCATCCTCTTCAGAGAAGAGGGCTGGGGCAGGCGGCGCAGGGCACCGGGTCCCAGGTACCACGCCAGGCTCTGACGTGGGGCCACTGGGTGGCCCCGGCCATGTTGATTAACCTCCTGGTGTGGCCTCATTCTCCTTCGAGCAGCGAGGCAAACAGTTGGGGGAAACAAAGACGTCCCTTTTCCAGGAGGTTGGGCAAGTGCAGAGTGTTGGCGTTGGACCTCCTTGGCAGCTGGCTCCTGGGAAGAGCTCCTTGGGCTTTCAGGTTGTTTAGGGGGCATCCAGTCTTTTCTCACTGACTTTATGCGTCACTTGCTTGGTGCATCCACCTTCCTTGGATCCAGAGGACCTTCTGAGCCTGTTTCTCACTCCACATGCATTTTGGACTTGTTGGGACTTTTTTTTTTTTTTTAAGGTTTGTGCCCAAAGGTGCTGCAGCCCCTCACGTTTGCCTGAACGATTTGGGCTGTCCCTACAGCCCAATACACAGCACATGGATCCTGCCGAGAAGCAGCTGGCTTCCTGGCCACAGCATTTTGAGGAGAGCTCAAGAGCTTGCAGGGGAACAGCAGATACTGCTCAAGGAACAAACAGTTTGCCCCTCAGCCTGTGGTTTGGGCTGTACATTGTTCCCATCCTTGCTCCCACTGCGTGGAAGAGCTCAGAGCTGCCCTGGAGCACTCTACCTGGTTGAGGGACTGAAGTTGGGGTTGCGTTGCATTTAATTTGTGGGAGTTTTTTGTCTGCCTCATCAAAGGAAAGAAAAATTGGCCTTTTTCTGCCAGCCCTCGCTCATGTGAGTTAAAAATTCAGTGAGAGGCAGGCGTGGATGAAGATGACTCCCAGGAGAGAAGCGGTCTGAGAGACTCTTAAACAAATGGGAACTGAGCGGCTTTGCTTGTCCCCTGAGGGTTTGGCTGTTAAATAAACTCGACGGAGAGCCTGGCTGCATGTGTGTGTTGGTGCAGGAGTGCCTCTGAATGCAGGCTGGTGTTGCTAGGTGTGAGCCACCAGGATGGCGTGCATTGAGTGGTGCGCTCCTTGACATAGCAGTGCATGAGCTGTCTTGGTTGGCCCTGTCCACCTTCCAAAGTTTGTATGGGTGGTGGTGGTCAGAGGGAAGCTAACGTGGCCTTTCCCTCTTCTCCTGTCTCTCTCCAGGGTTCCACCTCAGTGGGACGGTAACAGAGCCAGCGACTGCGACAGAACCAGAGATGACCTATAAGGTGGCCATCAGCTTCGACCGCTGCAAAATCACCTCAGTGACATGCGGCTGCGGGAACAAGGACATTTTTTACTGTGCCCACGTCGTGGCGCTTTCACTGTACAGGATCCGCAAGCCGGACCAGGTCAAACTCCGTCTTCCCATCTCAGAGACCCTTTTCCAGATGAACAGGGACCAGCTCCAGAAGTTTGTTCAGTATTTGATCACGGCGCACCACACCGAGGTGCTGCCCACCGCCCAGAAGTTGGCTGATGAGATCCTGTCATCCAACTCAGAGATCAACCAAGTGCACGGTAATTCCTCTTCCCTCCCTGGGAGGCTCGGCACTGATTCACTCTGCATTTGGGGCTGGGTTGGTGGTTTCACACCGACAGTGGTGGCCTTTGCTTTGCCGTGTCTGTCTGTTGCTGCACAGAGGGAGGTGGCGGTGTCAAACTGACATTAATACATGGGTGTTGGGACCACATTAATGTTGGCCACGTGTTCCTGTTCTGCCCTCTGTTCTTCTTCGTGTGTTTATCTGTCAAACGCTGGCTTTAACAGGCAAGAAAAGGCAGAGCAGGCAGGCTGGAGGTGTATAAGGCACAGCTTAGAGCAGGATGGAGAAGCACATTTAGTCCCCAGCACAGAAGGATGTGGTGATGGGACCCCAGGGAGAGGGAGGTGCGGTGGGGATGTCGCTCCTCCAGCACATGGGGACACGGTGTCAGCCCAGCCCTGCACGTTGCTAAGTCAGATGCGGCTGAGCCGGCGGGAGATAAAGGTTTAATCTCCATGGGCGTTAATTTGCCCATAATAAATGAGCGCCTCTGTCCTGACCTACTGCACAAAGGCAGCGGAGATGTGTCCTGGGGCTTTGCGTTTGGAAGATGCTTTTGACTTCCTCCCCTGGAGAGCACCAGCCGGGGGATGGTGCCCATCCCAACCCGGCTCCACCACTGGCCCAGGAGGTGGCCCAGGCTCCCTGGGGAGCTGCCCTGGGGCTCCATCAACCCAGACTGGGTGCTCCCACTACGTCTTTCCAAGGAGCCCGGGAGCTGAGGTTGCCCAGGGTCTGCAACAATGAGCCGCTCCCCACCGTGCCTGTCCCACCAGCTGTAGAGCGGAGATAATAAACACTTATCTGCCACGGAAGGGCGTTGGGGGGATTAACATATGCCTGTTAAGTGCTCCGAAGATGAAAAGCCCCATATGCAGCCTAAAATAGGATCTGAACTGGTTGAATCCACATGTAGAGGTGAGGCCAGGGGTCCACCTCCACCGCAGGGGTGATGGCAGCTCTGATCTCAGATATTTTCCCCTCCCCTCCCTCTAGATGGTCATTCTTGCTTCTACCTTGGGAGGGGTTTTTGTCTTCTCTGCTGGGCCACATCTGCTGCGTGTGTGGTTGTGCTCTAAATTACTGGTGGGGGGTGGGCGGGGGGCAGTTTCCTATTTTTTGGCATTAAAAAAGAACGAGGAGCTGTGGTACTGCAAGAATCTGGTGAGGTCCACTCCCTCCCTGAGCTGATCCACTGAAGCTGAGGTTGGGCAAGATCCTTTCTTGGCTATTGTTTGAGGCTGCTTTCTCCTAAGCAGATTGACGAAAAGCTTTTAAGGCCCTGAATATTTATTGCTCTGGAGTCAGCAAAAGGCTGGTGATTGAGAGTCTTACAAAGATACAGATGTTGGCTCCAGTTCAATATCTGCCTCTTGTTTTTACAAGTGGTTTTAAAAAACAAAGCAAAAATTCTCTGTCCCTTCAGACTCGTGCAAATTCACGCACTCCAGCGTGTGATTTTGAACCGATGGAGATGCATTGACTTACCCAGCGGAAGGTGGCACCTACCCAACACCCATGTGGCTGCCTAGCTGGGGTCACAAGCAAGTAAACACCTCTGCAAGCAGGACTACAGCCTGCTCTCATCCTGGGGAGGGATGCAGATCAGTCTTAAGATGATGAGATGATCTAAAGATGATCTAAGATGATCTAAAACCTAGATGTCGCACCCTGTGAAAAGGCTCAAAAAAACCTCACATTCAAGTTGAGAGTGATGTTGTCCAGGGCTTTGGCTCTTGATCCTGGACAGGGTTGCAAGCTTTGCCCTCCCTGTCCTGCCAGTGAAGTGCAGCTGCCGTGCAACTACATCGCAGAGCTGCTCGAGCAAGGAGCCTGGGGCGAGAAGGGCTGCAGACCTGTGGGGCTGCCTATGTGGGAGCAATTTGGGGGCTCTGGTTGAAGGGGATCCAATTTTTTTCCTCACCTTCCCCTTCCCAGCTGCAGCTCATGTGTTCATAGAGGGCCCCCTATCCTGGGATTTGAAATCCTTCAAGGTATGCTTTACGTAGAGCTTTATAGGCTTACACATGCATTTCTTGGCCGTGTCTAGTTCAGACCCTCGGGGTCACACCTTCGTTCACCTCTGGGTTGAGGCCTAGCTGGCTTTTGGCAACTTCTGCAGCCCAAACAGTAACCCAGTGTGTGCAACACCCAAGGTTATTATGCCTTAGAGCAACAACAGCGTGTCCAAAAATATCCTTTCTTTTTTTACCCCCATTTCTTCTGAGGAGAGGTCTGTTGAGCTTCAGATCAGCATCGGGTCTTCCCCACCTGCCTCTGGTCACCCAAGAGGCTGCTCCTTCCATGTCAGTGGTGAGCATGTGGGATGGTGGAGCTGATTCTTCACCTCGAGAGCACTCCAGCTCGCTGGGGAATGCCCCCTTGTGCAAGGGGATCGTCTGATTTTGTAAAATAAGGCTTTCAGGGCTGCTCCTTCTCCCCCTGCAGAGCCTGAATGACAAAGAAAATTACAGGCCATTGTCTGGCGCGATCATCTCGGGCATCGGAGCTTTGTTCCTTGCAGGAGCCTGTAGCCGCAGGCTGTGCACCGCATGCCGATCTTCCCGGCTGCCTTCCTAGAAGGAAATGCAAACTATCCAGTAATGACGGAGTCTCGGAGCTCAGCCAAGGCGCTCACGTGTTCTCCAGGGATTCAGTCCAAGCAGAGAGCCTAGGTGTGCCTGCTGCTCTGCTCCCCTCCTGACCTCTGCCTGCTTAAGTGGATCGCGTCTCTGCTCTCGTAGCTGGCTGCAAAGGGCAGCGTGCTCGCAGTGAGGGCGTCTTGCGTGGCTGCCACATCCCCGCTCGGCGTCTGAAGTGGCAGCTGGGGTGAGGAGACTGGGATGGGTTTCAGTGCTGCTGTGTCCCCTCCCCAAGTGTGTTCCCACCTGGGGACAAAGTCAGTGGCGTGACTGTCCGGCACGGAGCAAGGCTGCAAGGTTGTCATTGCGCCAGCAAATGTGACCTGCGGCTGCTTGGCCTTTCCTGGTGGGGTGGCTGCTGGGGGCAGCCAGGACCTGCAGCTGGAGAGCTTGGATTCAACAGCCAGGCCTCCGACAGAGTGAGGAGCGTCTGGTGGTGGCCAGTTCGGCACCTTGCTCCCTTCACTCCTTCCAGAGCACCAGCCCAGGCCTTGCGTGGGTTTGCTGCTGGGCCAGCCTGACCTAGGGAACTGCAAGCTGCAAAAGTGGCTCAGGGCCACCAGCTGTGGTGGGATGTGCCGGGGATAGGTGCGCCTTTGCCGTTGCGGCAATTTTTTTTTTTGCATTGCCATGCTCTACCACCATGAACCGTGGGAAGAATATGTCTTTCTGAGGCATGAATGAGGAACAGAGAGCGATTGCTTTGGTGCGGTAAGATACTGCAGAGAGGGCTGGGAGATATTGGCGAGGGCAAGGCTGAGAAAAAGCACTGAAATGGGAATTGCAGGCAGAGAGGTATATTTTGGAGGCAAAAGCAAGCAATAGGGAGGAGGAGGAACTCAGAAGCACCAGTGAGTCCCAGGAGCAGAGCTGGGTTTCCTGCTCTCGCAGCATGAATCCAACATCCAGCAGCAGCGAGTGCCCAGGGTCCAAGTCAACCTTGGACTTGGGAGGTGGCATTCATTTCCTCTTGTGTTTTGATTCATGCTTGTAGGGAATTGTTTTCATTTATTTTAAGAGGAAGACAGGATTAGTATGGCGTGTATGGGAGGAAAACTGCTGTCTCAGATATGTCATCTGAGCTGGACTGGGATGCCTGGGCTTTGGAGGCAACCGTTGGATTCTTCCTGAGGGCAAAAGCAGTCTGTGGCCATGGAAGAAGAGGAAGCTGGTGGAGACCACTGCAGGGACAGAGGCGGTGGTCATTAAAGTCTTTAATTAGAAGCTTGAAGACAGGCGAGCTGCTCCGAAGACTGAGAGTCCCTGTGGGCCCAGAAGATTTGGGGCTTAGAGGTGCCCTTTGTGCGTCATTGGTGAAGTCTACCCCTTCCATGAGTGAGGAGCAGGAGGTTTTGGCAGTCCTGGTGTTTGCAGCTTGGTAACTCCCCCTGCTTGAGCGGCGCTTGGGCATGGCAGGGAGAGCTGCTGCCCTCGGCCCAGGAGACGTGGTCAGGGCAGTCTGTCTGCCCCACGGAAATGGCAGTGGGTGACACAGTGTCTGTGGCGCTCAGCTGATGCCATCGAAAGGCTTGGGATGCTCTTCTCAGCCAGAAGTGGGAAAAGCCACAAAACATCTGCTGTCTCACAGTGCAGGAGCACCTCCCTCCCAGAACAAGCCAGCGGTGAGTCAGTCTGAACCACCAAGGGCCCCTATGGTCCAGCAGGGTCTCAGGATCTTCCTCGGAGGAGAGGACCTTGAGAAAAATCTTAGTGGGAATAGTTCCTTGGGCTTTGGCATGGGAAAACCAGATCTGCTCATGCAAAAGCCATAAGGAGCCCTCTGCTTCATCTTCTCGCTTTTGTCCCAGGTGTTTCTCAACCACCTTGAGCCCTTTCTTCAACTCCTGGGCTAATACCATCCTTCAGCCTATTTTGCTCCTTGTGCACAGCAAGTCAGCTGCCAGGTTGGCCGTGTGGGAAGTCCCTGCCTGCTTCTCCTGCCGCACTGAACCAGAGATAATGTTTGAGGAGTCCGCAGGAGGTCTTTATCTTTGAGGTCATCCCATGACAGCGTCTGGAGGGCAGCACCGGTAAATCTATTTGAAATTCTGCCTTCCTGCTGGGGAGGAGGAGAAGGTCAAGTCTCCAGGGGATTCGTGTTTCTGGTTGCTGAGCTGATGTGAATTTAAGGGAAAATAGCACACCTGAGTGCTGGAGAGAAAGGTTCTGCTGCCGCCTCTTCCCCCTTGTCTTGCAGAGCCGCTGTGGCTGCTGAATGACCCCAGAGGGCAGGTGCAATGCTTGACAAGGCTTCCAAAGACAGCCAGACCCATTGCTGATACCAGCTGGCCCAGAGAGCTCCGGGCCATCGTGCTGGGAGCTGGTCTGGCTTCACTTGCCCCACCACTGTCAGATGGGTGTGAATCTTCAGGCCGCCCTGGAGGCTCCATCCAACCTGCCTCCCCTTGAAAATGAACCGGGAGCCTTGGTGGAGCTTGGCTCCTCGCTTTGCTGCTATTTTTAATCCCTCGTTAGAGTTCATTTCCTTTCTGGTGCCTGGTTATTTTCTCTCCGAGGTTTTCTGCTGTTTGTTTATTTGTCCATGTCCTCCCCCTTCCCGAGCTGTTCCTTCACATCTGTTTTCTCTCTGGATGCCGACGAGGCAGCCTGGAGGTGTTCATCAATGCCACCACGTGCAGTCATGAGATGGCCCTTGTGAACCGCCACCACGATGGCCAGCCCCACTCCGGGCGGCTGCGGCTCAGCCGGCTGGCAGAGCCCCTCCCGGCA